ATCAGGTCTAAAGTCATTTTTTTTTTTTTTTTTTTAACAGAGTTTCGTTCCTGTTGCTCAGTTTGGAGTGCTATGGTGCAATCTTGGTTTTCTGCCTCCTGGGTTTAAGCAATTCTCCTGCCTCAGCCTCCCAAGTAGCTGGGATTACAGGTACCCACCACTACACCTGGCTAATTTTTTTTGTATTTTTAGTAGAGACAGGGTTTTACTATGTTGGCCAGGCTGGTCTGGAACTCCTGACCTCAGGTGCTCCACCTACCTGTGCCTCCCAAAGTTCTGGGATTACAGGCATGAGCCACTGCACCCAGCCATATGAGCCACTGCACCTGGCACCATTTTTAAATATACACTACAGCAGTGTTAACTATATACGTGTTGTTGTGCTACAGATCTCTGGAACTTTTTCATCTTGCAAAACTGAAACTCTGTGCCATTGAGCAACAGCTCCCCATTTCCTCTTTTCCCTGAATTCCTGGTAACCACAATCTACTTAGTTGCTAGGAGTTTTACTACTCTAAATTAGTCATATAATTGGAATCATACAGTACTTGTCTTTTTATCATGACAGAATTTCCTCCTTTTTAGAGGCTGAATAATAACTGCATTGTATATATATACCACATTTTCATTATCTATTAATTTGATGGTCATTTTGGTTGCTTCCACCTTTTGGCTATTGTGAATACATGCTATGGTGAACATGGGTATGTAATTATCATTTTGACCTCCTGTTTTCAATTTTTGGGATATATACCTAGAAATGGAATTGCTGGATCATATGGTGGTTCTATTTTTAAGTTTTTGAAGAACTTCCATACTGTTTTATAGCCGCTTTACCATTTTACATTCTCACTAATGATGCACAAGTGTTGTAGTTTCTCTGCATCCTCTCTAGCGCTTTTGTTTGTTTTTCTTTTCTTCCTTTTACGTTGCTGATACTTTGCCTTGATTCTTCATCTTTTCACACCAAACTTCTAATAGCTTGATTGCATATCTGTTGCTTGTCTTTTTCTCCTCTAATCTGGGCTACATACTGCAAGATTAATCTTCCTAAAATAGGCCTTCAAATATGTTTTATGTCACTCATAAGTTCGTTCTTTGAATCTACTTAATCTTACTGTCCTATCTGGTTTTCTCTATCTGGTTGGATCACTTGAGGTCAGGAGCTCGAGACCAGCCTGGACAACATGGCAAGACCCTGTCTCTACTAAAAATACAAAAATTAGCCAGGCATAGTGGCAGGCGCCTGTTATCCCAGCTACTCGGGAGGCTGAGGCAGGAGAATTGCTAGACCCCAGGAGGCGGAGGTTGTAGTGAGCCAAGATCCTGCCTTTGCACTGCAGCCTGGGTGACTAAGCAAAACTCTGTCTCAAAAAATAAATAAATAAATAAATAATACATTTCATCTAGAACAGAAATTGAAGGGGCATCAGACTGTGGCGCATGAGAGGTTATATTAGCTAATTTCATCCAGATTATATGTTTAGGCTACTTTAAAAGCACTTTTTGGGCCATATCCTTGGGATAACACAAGTTTGTTCATTCACTCTCTTACAGTTTGGAGGCAAACTGGTTACATTTGAGAATGTCAGAATGCCTTCTCATCAGGGAGCTGAGCAACAGCAGCAGCAGCACCACCATGTGTTCATTAGTCAGGTTGTAACAGAAAAGGAGTTCCTGAGCCGATCAGACCAACTTCAGCAGGCTGTGCAGTCACAAGGATTTATCAATTATTGCCAAAAAAAAATTGATGCTTCTCAGACTGAATTTGAGAAAAATGTGTGGTCCTTTTTGAAGGTAATGTTGGTATTTAAAGCCATATTATTTCATTACCTGCTAATTTAACTGTTCCCATTATATTCTAAATCTGTCTTCCTATTAAAGAAACAATTGAAAAAGTGTGATTTCAGGAATTCATCATGAAATTAACAAACCTTATAAAGAGCATATAACCTAACTTATGTCCGGAGTTTTTTCTTCTCTATTTTGAAAAGTGTAATACAAAATACTTCAATAAGTTAAAAAAAAAAAAAAAAAAATCTATTTAGGGGAAAGAGACATAGTCAGCATATCTATTCTGAAGATTAGTATACAGAGTTTACTATAATAAAAACATAGAATATTTAATGTCTATATAGATCTAGTTAAGGAAAATGGAAAAAGAGGAAGAGGAGGCTGGGTGCGGTGGCTCACACCTGTAATCCCAGCACTTTGGGAGGCCGAGGTGGGCGGATCACGAAGTTAAGAGATCAAGACCATCCTGGCCAACATGGTGAAACCCTGTCTCTACTAAAAATACAAAAAATTAGCCGGGCATGGTGGCACGCGTCTATGGCCCCAGCTACTCGGGAGGCCGAGGCGGCAGAATCACTTGAATCCAGGAGGCGAAGGCTGCAGTGAGCCGAGACTGCGCCACTGCACTCCAGCCTGGCAACAGAGCAAGACTCTGTCTCAAAAAAAAAAAAAGAGGAATAGAAGAAACAGGTTGGAGGCATTTTTCCTTTTACTTTAAGAGGAGTTAAAATAGAATAACAAATAGAATTTCCTGGTTGGTCATTTTCTTCCACTGGAGTGTCTGCTTCTTTATACAGCACTGATTCTTGAAAAGGTAAAGCAGTCTTGAATACAGTTAGGTTAAAGTTTAAAATTAAAGGATTTATATTTTGTAATAATTTTGGAAAGAATTTTAGGACATAGAATATATTGCATAGTTTGAATTTTGTATCCATTTTACCTTTGGATATAAGTTTGTATTTACAAAAATTACTGTTCAAAATTAAGCTTTATTTAACCAGGATAATTAAGTACTAGTATATTTACTATTAAAAAATAACTTATTTAAAAAAAAAATTCTAGGTACATGTTCTCAGGTCCTCCTGAGGCTGGGTCACTAAAAAATTTAAAAACCCACTGTTCTTTGGATTCTTTCTAACAGTGAATCTTTAGGACATAAACTTCACATATTTTTAATAATTCTCTTTGGAATTTGATTCATTCTTATAAAAATTTGGCCTTTAAATTTGTTGTTTTTAATAATATGTCTTTTTTTTAAAGGTGAACTTTGAGGATGATTCTCGTGGAAAATACCTTGAACTTCTAGGATACAGAAAAGAAGATCTAGGAAAGAAGGTAAACTTTTGGGAAAGTTTGATGGCATGTTATTTATGAATCAAACTTTAAAAAAATAAAGTTCTATACAGATTATCTCAAATCACCCAATAAACATTTAATAATAATTTGTGTTTGGTTGCCATCGGTTTTTTATTTTTTTCCTTTTTCTTTTTCTACATCGTTACCCACAGTGGTTGCCAGAGTTTTGTTT